GCCGTTCCCCCCTCCCCCCCTCCCCCCACTGCCACCGCGCGCTGCCACCATGCCACCCACCTCGGGGTGGATGCACAGGTTCTTCCTGGAGCTCAGCGCCAGCCCCAGGAACGGCACCTTCTCCCCCAGCTGCTTCTCGTAGAAATCCATGAGCTTCCGCAGCTCCTCGATCACATGCGGCGACCAGATCCCCTGCCCCCCACCCAGGGGATCCCCTCTGGGATCCACTCGCCCCCACCCCCAGCCTCGCAACCCACCTTCTCGATCTCCGGCACCGTGCGGGAGCAGTAGATGAGCTTGGTGAGGTCCAACGGCCGGGCCTGGGGAGGAAGGAAGAGAGAGGCAGCGCTAGGATCTGCCTAGATCAACTGGGATCGGCTGGGATCCGGCGTTGCCGCTCACCCGCTGATAGGCAACGATGAGGGACAGCAGCGACACCGTCTTCCCTGTCCCCGAAGGCATCTCCAGCACGCCATGACCCTGCGGAGAGCAGCAGCGTCATGCCAGCATGGGGGACAGGGACATCTCCCGGGGCCGGGCGGCTCCCAGCCCGCCGGGGATCACCCGATTCCGGCCACACCTTGGCATCCAAGGTCCTCTTGAGCTCCAGCATGTAGGAGAACTGCTCGGGGTAGATGTAGTCGTACGGGAAATACACCAGGAGGCCATCGATGTTGAGCCTGCGGAGAGACGAGGGTCAGGGAAATGAGGGGGTGGGATCAGGCGAGATCCCTCCGTGGCGAGGATCCCCGTGTCCCCTCTTGGATCGTGTAGCCCTGCTCCCGGCCTGGCTGACCCCTCCTCCCTTCTCCCCCCACCGTCGCCGTGCTCCTGCTTGGCCTCGCTGTCTCCCCTTTGCGGGTGTTTTTTTGGGGGATCCGTGAAGCCGGCTGGGATCCGGTGGCTGGTGGGGCAGCAGGATCCAGTGGGGTGTCAGCAGCTGTCACTGCTGGTCCCTGACCATAATCACTGCCCCCAAACGGACCCTCTCTGCAGCCATGGGCCATGGACCCCCAGCTCGCGGCAGATCCCTTTCCAGGGACAGATCTGGCCCCGATGGCTCCTCCCGGAGCGGGGCCGCAGCCAGGGCGAAGTCCCCGTGCCAGATCCACCATGTGCCCATGCTCTTGTGACCTTCGGGATCTCCATCGCCTGCCAGCATCACGGCCTTGCCATGCCATCAAAGCTACTGGGATCCCCTGGGATCGCAGCCCTCCTGTGGCCCTGACACCACCCAGGATTTCCTGGGATCGCAGCCCAGGATCCCTCTGGGGATCCCGCAGCCCTGACAATGCCCAGGATCCTCTGAGATCCCAACCTTTCTGTGACCCCCGCACTGCGAAGGATCCCCCAAGATCACGGCTCTCCTGCGGCCCCAGCAGTGACCAGAAGTCCCGGGGACCGTGGTCCTTCCCTCTCCCAAGGATCCCCCTTGATCTCAGCCCTCTCCCTGCCCAGCACCAGCTGGGATTCCCCAGGATCCCGCCTTGACATTGCCCGAGATCCCAACCCTCCCCTCATCCTGGCGTCCCCAGGGATCACGGTCTTCCCGCAGCCCTGACACCACTAGGGATCTCCGGGGATCACGGCTCTCCCGCGGCCCCGACACCGCCGGGGATCCCC